TTTTTTTTTTTTTTTAATTATGTAAAGTTAGAACAATATCTGCAGCTCTGATCAAAGGTATCCACAGTTCCTGATGGGTATTGCTGATAGAGAGGGAGGGGTTTCTGTGAGTGGTTGTTTACTGCAGGGCTTAAAACCCAGCTCCAAACAGGATGAATGCCCCTAACTGGGTTTGATTATGGAGAAGATAGGGAAATAAAGAGCAGTTTGCTCTTGTGTGTCAGTGTAGGTGTCCCAGCTGCTGGGTGGGGTGGGGAGTGGAGCATCACACACCTCCTACTATGGCAGGAAGGTGGGATGGGGGAGTTAGGTTGGATCTCAGGGAAAGGTTCTTCCCCCAGAGGGTGGTTGGGCACTGAACAGGCTCCCCAGGGCAGTGGGCACAGCCCCAAGGCTGCCAGAGCTTGTTTGGACAATTCCCTCAGGCACATGGTGGGATTTTGAGGTGTCCTGTGCAGGGCCAGGAGTTGGACTCGATGATCCTTTTGGGTCCTTTCCAACTCTGGATGTTCCGTGGTTCTGTGAGCACAGCCCTTGTATGCTCAAGTGAAATATTTGCATTTTTGGGACTGGGACATCAGGAAACAGCCATTCCAAGAAGTCCTGGCTTCTGAGCTGCCTTTTCATTTGAGCCAGGCTCAGCCTTTCCTATCTGAAAGATGCCCTTGTGCAGTCCCAGAAGAACTGGGTGACAGTTTACCAGTCCTGTTCCCTGAAGGGGTTTCTGGGGCAGTGCCCAGCGAGGCTGGCACGGGCTGGCTCTGCATTCAGAGCTGGGAGCTTTGTTTTCCACCCTGTGCCAGCTCAGTGCCATTCACAGCATCAGCAGAGTCAGGGCTGTGTGGGGGCTGCTGCTTGGAGCCCTCCACCAGCTCTGGAAAGCTGCTGTGCTTGATTTGGGGTGGCTTGGTTGCCATTTGTGCCCTGCTGGGAGCAGAGAGGTGAAGCACATCCGATGAAGTACAGGCAGCGTTTGTTTGGAGGCAAAAACATGTCCTTTGTGTGCCCTGGCAGGGAAAGTGCAGCTTGGATCAGAACCCTCCTGGTTGAACACGCTGAAGTTTGTTCTAAACTAAACACCCTGTGGTTCAAGGTACCAGAACTCGCTCTTGGCCTTCAGTGGTGCAGGCGACTCGTGCAGAGGAAAACCCACGTGTGTGGCCTCACTAAAAAAGGTGCCAGTGCAGAACAGAACAGAGCCATTTACATGGGAAAGTAAAGGTGTGAATTGTCACAGTAACCAGTCCTTAGGAGGCAACGTGAATCAAGAGGAATCCAATTTAAACCTGAGGTTTGGAAGGTGTTACTCCTCGGCAGGTGCAGCAGCAGCTCCTCTGGGCAGGGGGTTGTGCTGTCAGGGATACACAGAGGAAGGAAACAGTCACAGGTTTTCACAAAGCCCAGAACCACTTCAGTAGAAATCAGTGATTGTGTTTCTCCCAGCCAGGACAGCTCTGAGGGCTCTTTTCCCTCCTGTGTCTTTTTGTTGCATAAATATCTGTTTTCCTATGGTTTCTTATCGTGGTGGTAAACATGCAGATAATACTTTAATATCTCTGTGTTTATGAAGTTTTGTTTAGTTTTCAGAACTTCACAGTAATCATTCAGTAGGATAAGCCTGCTGGTATCCTGACAAACAGATTTCCAGATGGAATGGCTGATTCATCATCGTTTGGGTTGGAAAAGACCTCTGAGCTCATCGAGTCCAACCATTAAACACTGTAAATGTAGAGCCTGGTACATGGGAGTTGTCTTATTTCTTACATGTCACCAAAGAAACCTCATCATTCCTGTCTTTCTTCTTGAGAAACCAAACTCTGTTTAGTCTGGATGAGCACATTAAGGATTTTATTAACAATTCATGGATTTATAGGCTCTGGCAAGACTGAAACTCCTTAATTGCTCAACATGGAATTCTTTGATGGTGACACAGTCAAGGAAACCACACAAACTGCTTCTTTCACTGATGGGACAGTAAATGATTAAA